ACTTTCCATAATTGTTTTCACCACTTCATTAATTTTTTACTACGCCAACTTCAGTTTTTTTTTTCGAACTAAGTAATCTTCCACTTACTTTTTTCAAAAAAAAAAAGAAGGTAATCTTCCACTTACGTTTTCTTTTTTAATAACTTGCACTTACGTAACAAAATTGTACTTTAAACTTATAACATTGACCAAAAAAAACTTTCATAACATGCAAATGCACAATAAGAACATGGGAGTTTTGAGTACATAAGAGACATCGAAAACGTTTGACTTTACAAATTACAACTGATTTCGTTAGCCAAAAAAAAACAAATTACAACTGATTTTCATAACATGCAAATGATTCATTGATTTCGAGCCGTCCAACATAATTTTTCAATGGTTCAATATAGACCGGAGGAAACCGTTGGTTTAACTCGGTTAAAAACTTAAAATCAAACACGAAACCGACGTTACCAGACATTATTTAACCACAGAGTTTAAACAAAAACTTGGAGAAATCAATACTACGCACGTCGATATTATGTAACAATAATTGGAGAGAGATCTTTCTCAAAAAAAAAAAAAAAATGGAGAGAGAAACTATGTACATAGACACACATTTGTATGATTATTTATGTGTATTGATTATCGTATCATGTTGGTCTTTCTGTCTACTCGATCCACCCACCGGTGATATACTTTTAAAAAATAAGTAATGTTATTTGAACCTTACAAATGATTAGGAGCTATATATAATATATGTTTGTAATGTTATTTAAAAAAGACATTTATTGTATTTTTCGTATAAGCCATGTGCGTATTGTGCTTGTTACCGTTGGAATTGGCTGTTATTATCGCTTTCTTATTAATATCAAGAGTTGGAGATAGCTGTCAGAAAATTTAAATAGTTGAATAATAAAATCATACTATAACCCAAAAAATTCCAATTTATAAAATACTATTATACATAACGGAAGAAGACATTTTGATAGCCTGTAAAGGGTCCTTTTCTACAGTGGTTCCAGAAGTTTCGTATTTCTTTTCCTAATTTTAATGGTAACGACTAAAAATGATTACTGAATTATAATAGTAGTTGGCAATTTCATTTTTGCTATATAATGTGAAACCGAACACACCATACATTATACCTACAATTCAGTGTATTGAATCAATTATTTAAAAATCCTAGCGATAAATTTACCTATGAAGTACTAACTATGATTTAAGGGATTTTCTTTTGAAAAAAAACCGAAATGTGAGGTGAAGTGATTAGTATTTGAATAGAAATGAAAAAGCATATAAATGAATTACATCTTGACCGTTGACAAATAACCAAAATCTAACCGTTAGATATGGAACTAAAGTGATAATGTTCGGTCACAAGCATAATCCCAAACCTGACCGATAAACAATACTTGTCCAATGCTGGGATATTCTTATCCCTGTTGCCAAACAGCTATCGGATTGCGAACGAAATTAGGGTTTAAAATTACGGCGATGTCGTCGGAGACTCACAGGACCGGTAAGGAAAACGTACCCAAGAACCCAAGAGTTTTGTGTCTTCATGGATTCAGAACTAGCGGTCGGATTCTCCGTGCTCTTATAAGCAAATGGCCTGAAACAATTCTCCGAAATCTCGACCTCGATTTCCTCGACGGTCCATTTCCGGCCACCGGGAAATCGGACGTCGAACGCTTCTTTGATCCGCCGTATTACGAGTGGTATCAGGCTGGTAAGGTACGTTGCAAAGTAAACCCTAATTTCCTTAAATTGATGTGTTGATTAATGTTATCAGAATAAAGGATTGTTTTTTTTTTGCCCCGTAAATATTCACAAGAACTGAAATTTTTGAGAGAATTAATTGTTTCAATTGGAACATTTTGGTTGGTGGATGTGTAGTGTCTGTTGAATTTTACTCAGATTGGATAAGTCATAGAAGTTTAGTGGAAGAACAGAGATTTTGGTATAAGTTTTGTATAGGTAACTGGATTTGGGTGTGTTTGGTGCTATTTGTTTGTAGGGTTTTACAGAATACAGGAATTTTGAAGAGTGCTTGGCTTATGTAGAGGACTACATGATAAAGAATGGACCTTTTGATGGTCTTCTTGGTTTTTCACAGGTTAGTTTGATGCTGTGTGAGATTCTACTATTGATCACTTGACATATATCAGCAGGATCATGGATCGTCGATTCTTGATTTTAGCAATTATGGAGTGTATGCTCTTGATACATTTGGTTCTGTTGAATTCTTGTAGGGAGCTTTTCTATCTGCGGCTATTCCTGGAATGCAAGAAGAGGTACATAAGCAATTAGAATCCAGGTTCTGAGATTAAATCTTCATATGAGCTTTTGAAGGATAAAACCCCTATCGAACGAATAGTTTCTTGTTTTGTTCTGACTTCTGAGTAAGTGTTCGACGTTGAAACAGTTTGTAGGTAACGTTGAGAATGAATCTGAATATCACTTTCTTAAGAATGAAATCTAATGTTAATATAGTTTCTATTGTTATGTTCTGAGCAAGTGTTTGATGTTGAAACTGTCTTTAGGGAACGGCTCTAACCAAGGTGGCAAAAGTCAAGTTCTTGGTGATAATATCGGGAGCCAAAATTCCGGGTTTGGTTTTTGGGCAGCCTAAAGCTGCTGTTGGTGCATTCTCATCTCCAGTTCGTTGCCCGTCACTCCACTTCATAGGTAAACCGGAACAGCGTCCCTTGTCGTGTTCCTCACTCAATTTCTCTGGTTGACTTGTAGCTTAAGACACTGATCAATAGAAAGTTTCTACATTAATATCGTGGCTTTGATGTATCCAAGATTGGCATTGGAATGTTTAGATAGAACTTAATGTGTAGACTACATGTTAACATAGCTTTAAATATCCGTTAGAGCTTCTCTGCTACAACATATAGATTGGCTTTTGGTTTTTTGTATCCAAGGACCAAAAATGACATTTGAATCCTAGTTGATACTTGATAATATAGAGACAAATTCTGTATCGGTTTTGTAGGCGAGAGGGATTTCTTGAAAACAGATGGCGAAGTTCTTGCGGAATCATTTGTAGAGCCAGTGGTGATCTATCATTCAAGTGGACACACTATACCGAAACTCGGTTAGTAAGAAGAAGAAGCTAATAATCTTGAACTTCTCGTTACATTTAAGCTCTGTTAGTTAGAATAGTAAGGAGAAATTTGCAATAGATATAAGTAAATTGAAGATCTGTGTCTTCTTGTTTTGCTCTTATGAGCTTATCCTTTGTCGTTTGCAGAAGCTAAAGCTGAGGAGACAGTGCTGAGCTTTTTCCAGAGGATTAGGCAGATGCTTTCTGATGAATCATCTTCTGTAAGAAGCTTGATGTGATTCAGAGCTGCTCCAATGGTCTTGAGTTTAGATGATCTTGCAGTTATAAATTTGAGAGATGTGACTATTCTTTTTGAGTTTGTCTCTCTGGCGTAGTCTTTGATCCATGGACAAAGATATTCCAAGAAACTAAAATTACTAAATCTGCTAGCCAAAATCAAAGTGCCATTCTTGTAAATTATACATGTACTAGTATTAAGGCCCATGCGTTGCATGGGCTAAAATTAATTTAGGTTTTCTAAATTTTGTTTTAATTAATTAAAGCTATAAAATATAAATATAAAATTTTATATAAAAAAAGAGAAGTTATAAATATAAATTTTAAATATATAAAAGTTAATAATATTGATATGTAATATAGCTTTAACATAAAGATTGACTAAATATCATATTAGATGAAATGAATATGAAATCTTTTATATAGTAGAAAAATACTCCATATTTTAATTATATTTGCTTAGAATTAAAACTTGTCGAAAGTTTTTGTAGTAACTATATTGTTTTATTTTTGTAGTAAATATATTGTTGTTATGATTAGTAAAGTGAGGAAAAGATAATGGGGGAATACGTACGCAATTATGTTTGTCAAAATTTCAAAAGCTAATGAA